CGCTATCTCCCTCTCTCGTGTTAGGAGTTGGAGAGTTTGGTTTATGTCCTTTTCACGGGGTAGCAAAGGTGCCGGATTGCTCCGGGTCATGCACCTCCCTACACACAATCAGATTACAACACCAAGTCTAGCACAAGCAAAGCACACACACTTTCAAAGCTGGAAATTAAAAGCTAGATTAACACCAAACAACTTTTTCAAGATAACAGACTGTTGTTCCCCGGCAACGATGCCAAAAACTTGACTCACTCCTAATATCAAAATTAATTCCCTCCTAAAGTCCAAGTATAAACCTTAGTAGGGTGCAATATAGGGCAAGTATGTTTAAATATCGACTCGGGCCAGTCCGTGTACCCCTACTTCAATTGTTTGAAACATTATCTATAAAATCGGTTTTAGTTGAAAAGTTTGCTAATTAAACTAGAACAAGGCAAAAGTAAATGGTTTTGAAAGCTCTTTGTGAGAAGGATCACTCGGGTGTCGCTTCCCCCTAACTACTACCATGGCATGTGAATCAAAGTGATTGCTATGGGCAAGGTGACCGCGAACCACTAGGAAATGTAACAATGGTCGTAGACCACACTCTCGATTGCCAAACCAAGGGATACATTATAGGCTACTCAAGAAGCCCTCTTGGTTAAGGCAATCGATGGTTGACTTACTCTCTCACTCAACCCAAGGGTTGGTCAGATTAATCGTGCTTAACCAAATTGTTTAATTCAACATAGAGGTTTGCCCTACATTAACCTAGATTGGTGACTTAAAAATCCCAAGAAATCCCAACTCAATTGAGCCTCCCTTGAAAGACGGTTTTCCCTCTAATCTAGGCTAGAATGGCCAATTAGATTGCTAAGCATAAAAATGCACAATCAACATGAAAAATACCTCAATCATTGAATTAAACAACACCCATAAACAATCATTCAAACCACACGACAACTACATTGTAAATAGTTACGGTTTCACAACACCCAAGTGAAAAAGGAAACTACTCCATGCTAGAAAGGGGAAGAACACAAGAGGAAGAGGTAGAAACCATCATGGTGATGCCTCCAGTCTCCTTTGAGCTTGTGTTGATCTTCTCTTGGGGAGAATCTTCCCAATTCACCACTTGGAGCGAACCCTAGCCTCCTTTCTTCTTTGGTTCGTCCTTTCTCTCTCTAAAATCTGAAGAAGAAGGCACTTTGTCACTCATGGCTTCCCCATCTCTCTTTCTTTCAGCTCTCCTTTTAAATAGGGATCGGGCTCAGTTCACGACCTCAGTTCACGGCCGTGAACTCTTGAACGCGTCCGTGAACTCAAGGTTGGCGTCGAAACACACCACTTCGCTTGCTCATGTTCAGGGCAACAGCTCTAGTTCACGATCTTAGTGACCGTGAACTCGTCTGGCGTCAGTAACTTCGGCAAGTGCCCTGGATGCCTTGATATTCATGTCCCATGCCTCCTCTTCACGGTCTTAGCAGACCGTGAACTCACAAGGGGAAACCGTGAACTGTTGGTTTTTCACCTCTTCTCCCGGTTTTCGCTCCTTTTCATCCGACTTTCGACTCCGGGGCTGGTTTCACCTATTAGATCCTGAAACGTGCTAAAACACAAGAAACCTAGCGTAAAACCACCCTTTTAGGAGTACAATTGCCACAAATGCCTAAGGAAAACGGGGGTAAAATGCGTACAATTAGGCCTGAATCAGTCACTTATCAAGAGCGTCCAGCTGGTATGAACGCAACATCTGAAGTGGGGACTAGCAACGCGGGCTTGTCGGCTGCCGCAGTAGAGGAGCTTGTCAAAGCAGCCTTACAGAAATCACTACCAACAGCCATGAGTGCAGTCTTTGCCACTCTTCACGGTTCAGGTACTCATTCACCTTGGCTCCTTGACTTAGTGTGTTTTAATCACATGACACATGACTATAGTAAATTGAAGAATATAGTCCTGGTTAATGATATGTTATTAAAGTTAGTCAATGGTAATGAATTGCATGTATGTGGAGTTAGAAATATAGACAATGCTAAGATGCAATTACCCCATACATTTTACGTTCCTAAGTTACTTCCTAATCTCGTCTCTGTTAGACAACTTACTGAGCAAGGATGTTCTGTCTTGTTTGCACCGTCTGGATGTGAAATACATGATTTGAAGACGGGGAGGCAGATCGGAAAGGGGAGTAAGTGCGGCCGGATTTTTCATCTGGATGAGCTACAGGGTCGTCCACCTTTATTGTCATCATCATCATCGCCTGCCACTAGTCAAGTTAGGTATGTCGTTTGTCAATCTAAGTCATTTTCTTCTTCTGCTTCGTGTTCTACGTCTTTACCTGTTAGTTTCTCGAGTCAGTCAAGTAGTGTGTGGGACCTTTGGCACTCACAATTAGGGCATCCTCATTCAGGTCGTCTTGTAACGATGTTCCAACAATATTTACTAAGCAAGAATAATGTCGGGGTTTCTGAAAAATGTTCATGTACTAGTTGTGTTGAAGCAAAAACAATCAATATTTCTTTTCAATTGAGTACTACTGTTATCGGTGATCCTTTTCATATTATTTGCACTGATCTCTGGGGTACTTCAAATGATATGTCTCGACATGGATATCTCTACTTTACTCTGTTCATTGATCATGAAACTAGATTCACTTGGGTATACTTTCTTCGTAAAAAATGTGAGCTAAAATTTGTAGCCACCGAGTTTTTAAAAATGATCCAGACTCAGTTTCATCATACTGTGAAAATTATTCGTTCAGACCCAGGTGGTGAGTTTATTTCCTTTCCTCGACTTGATGTATATCGATATCTTGGTGTGTTAAGTCAAAAGTCCTGCCCCGGTGTATCTCAACAGAACGGTCTTGTTGAACGTAAGAACCGTCACATTTTGGACCTCACTCGTGCTCTTCTTCTTGCCTCTCACGTCCCAGCTCGTTTTTGGCCTGAAGCAGTTGCTAGTGCAGTTCGGCTCATAAACTATCAAGTCACTCCCGTTCTTGGTCAGAAGAGTCCATTCTTTTCCTTGTATTCCGTCATCCTGATTACTTGTGTCTTAGAGTTTTTGGTTGTCTTTGTTTCGTTCTTCGTCCTAAACGTGAACGTACTAAGTTGTCGTCTAAAACTGCTCGCTGTGTTTTCTTAGGGTTTAGTGACGTTCACAAGGGGTATTTGTATTTTGATCCTTCACTGCAACGTATGCTCATAGCGTGTACGGTTGTATTTTTTGAACACATTATGTTTTATACTCCTACGTCTTCACCTCTAGTTTTCCATCCCAAACTTGCATTTGCCTCTATTTGGTCCCGATGATAATGATGATGATAATTCCCCTGATCCTCCTTTCGCACCCCCTGGTGATCTGCCTCCCCCCCAATCCGGTCTCACCAAGCACGCATCACTCCAGCAACTCTCTAGCCACGACGTGTACGTCCCCAACCTCCAGCAGCTCTTCCTTCGGTCCGTCACATTGCACAACTCCTCCGCAACTTCCATGCTAGTTCCACTTCACCTTCTCCCAGCACTCCTCCTCCTCGCCAATCCACCCGTGCCTGTTTTGAGAAGTTTCAGACCATTATTCCAACTAGGGTTCACACATAGTCTAAATGATCCGTCTCTCTTCACTCGCCAGTCCGCGACCGACATTGTTGCCTTACTCTTATATGTCGACGATATGATTATTACAGGGACAGATTCAGTAGGTATTCAACATCTCAAAGATGGTTTGAATGCTTCCTTCAGTCTTAAGGACCTTGGAGATTTATTTTATTTCCTCGGTCTTGAGGTCACACGTAGCACTCGGGGTCTTCTGCTTATTCAACGGAAATATATTTAAGATCTTCTCGCTGATCACTAGTTTGATGAGGGTAAGCTTGTTTCCACGCCCATGGAATTAAACTTGAAGTTGGGTTGAGTCTTGGAGATCCTGTGCCTGGTGGGTCTGCTTACAGAAGCATTGTCGGGAGCCTTATTTATCTTTCTGCAACTCGTCCGGACATCTCCTATGTTGTTCAGCTAGTCAATCAATTCATGGTGGCACCCTGTACTGATCATCTTGCAGCCGTTCATTGGATTCTTCGTTATTTACAGGGCACTAGTGACGTTGGTATGTTCTCCCCTTCTTCTGGTCTGTTCGTTGAGGTATATATAGTCTTTTGGCCATAGCTGTAGATTGTAACATTGACAAGAGTAATATCATCAGTAGTTTGGAGAGTGTTCAAGCTCTCCCGTTGAGTAGTCTTGATCATCTGGGATACCACGTAAACCGTCTGTGTTGTTCGTTTCTATTTCGTTCCGATTACTTGATTTCATTTACGAAATGTTAACATCTTCATGTAGGCAGCCACCTGCTATTGTGCTCCCTTGAGAAATAGAGAGTGATTCGTCTATATTTAAGCATGCTCATCCCGCCGGCGGGGACTTCCAATGAATAAGAGATCTTTGCTTCATTCGGTCACCCCATGACCATGCACTCCCTTCAATCTTCGGTCATTGATGAAAGATTATTATGATTTAAAAAATTGATAATTTTAATATCATTCAAATTATATATTTTTAATAATTTGAAAACATTAGAATACACATTGTAACTATCCATTAGTGACCACACTAGTTATCTCTTAGAATATGCATACATGTAACGTCCATCCAAATAGACCATCCAAAACCCCCTTAAATCTTATCGTATTATTGACCATGCTCATTCGATTAAAATTAGTCAAAGGCCTAGTCACCTATCCATTAGTTTTGCTGACCAATCACGATGGTTGAATGTCACCATTGTAGTAGCTTCACGCCTTCACCTAACGCCATGCATCAGCACAGCATCAGTAATTCAGTATTCAATTCAGAAGTAAATAATTATATAAAAATAATAATTCAGAAGTGAATAAGCGAGCAAACGACAGAGTCAAAGTCACCGCATTTCTGTTCGTTTGGTAGCCAGCCGGTTACACATAAGTAAACGGAAGTAAATGGCGCGTCGGCGTCGCTACTGGACTTCCGCCATTAATCCTTTCAAACTCCATGGCACTGGTAGCAGCAGCAGCAGCTCCTTCACACACTTCAGTCGTCTTTCTTCTACTCCATATCTGCCTCTTGCTTTTTTCCCCTGCAGCTGCAATCACTTTCCACAAACCCAAATTCGACCCAACCGACGCCTCCATACTCTGCAGCGGCGGCGCCAGCGCAAGCTCCGGCACCGTCAAATTGACCAATGCCCACTACGGGATTGAAGTCAGCCGCGTCACTTACGCCGACGACATCCCACTCTGGAGTTCGGCCACCGGGAAACTCTCTGATTTCGCCACCCGCTTCTCGTTCTCCATCGACGCCGGCAGCGGCTACCCATCAGCTATCGCCTTCTTCCTTGCGCCCCTAGGGTTCCAGGCGCCTGAAAATTCCGCCGGTGGGTACATAGGTCTCTACAACTACACCGACAGGGTCCATCCTCCGGCGCGGAAACAGGTTGTTCATGTCGAATTCGATTACTTCGTGAACCCTTCTTGGGATCCGCCGTTTCGGCATGTCGGGATGAATATCAACTCGCTCGCTTCCACGGTGGTCGCACCTTGGAATTCCGGTTTGCGGCCTGGCGGTTCCGTCATGGTTGATATCAACTATACGGCCAGTACCCACAATTTCACTGTGTTTTGGGAGTATGAGAATGGTCGGAATTCGAGTCTTTGGTACGTAATCGATCTCAAGGAGGTTCTTCCGGATCGGGTGATGGTAGGGTTTTCAGCCACCTCCAATGATTATTCAGGAGAACAGGAGCTTCTGTCGTGGGATTTCCATTCCAATTTGGAGATGAGGAATACTGGTCGGGAACGAAATTTCAGGAATACAAAAATGATTGGGCTTGTTGCAATAGCAGCCATTGCCATAGCTGCGTTCGTTTTTCTGCAGATGCGTGGAAAGAGGGGAGGAGTTAACAAGGGAATGAATTTGTTGTCTATGACAGATGAATTCTCGAGAGGCGCTGGCCCGAGGAAGTTCTCGTACACTGATCTCGTCTCAGCTACCAACAACTTCTCGCTGGATCGGAAACTGGGGGAAGGTGGTTTTGGAGCGGTTTATAGAGGGTGTCTCAGTGATTCAGATATGCCAGTTGCTGTCAAGAGGATCTCCAGGGGTTCTAGACAAGGGATCAAGGAGTACACAACTGAAGTTATGATCATTAGCCGTTTGAGGCATCGAAATCTTGTTCAACTGATAGGCTGGTGCCACGAAAAAGGTGAGCTCTTGCTTGTTTATCAGTTCATGTCAAATGGGAGCCTTGATTCTCACCTCTTTGGCGAGAATAGTTCTCTCCCGTGGCCTGAAAGATACAATATAGCTCTGGGGTTGGCCTCTTCCTTGCTCTACCTTCATGAAGAATGGGAGCAATGTGTGGTTCATCGTGACATCAAAGCAGCTAATGTCATGCTGGATTCTGGGTTCAATGTCAAGCTTGGGGATTTCGGTTTGGCTCGATTGGTTGACCATGAGCTAGGCCCTCAAACCACAAGGTTGGCTGGAACCATTGGGTACATGTCTCCCGAGTATATCAGTACTGGAAGGGCCAGCAAAGAATCGGATGTGTATAGCTTTGGGGTGGTCTGTTTGGAGATTGCCACTGGAAGGAGGGTTGTTGATTACATTGAAGATGGATTAGAAATGTGTATGGTGGAATGGGTTTGGGAACTGTATGGGAATGGAAACCACAGTGTGGCCATTGACAAAAGGCTTGTGGGTTTCGATGAAAGAGAAGCAGAGTGCTTGATCGTTGTGGGATTGTGGTGTGCTCATCCTGATTCCTGTCAGAGGGCGTCGATCCGGCAGGCAATCCAAGTTCTGAACTTTGAATCACCATTTCCACGTCTACCTGAGAAGAGGCCATTCCCAGTGTTTAATAGGGCAGCAAGTTGTGAAAGTTCTGACGAACCATTGTTATCATATTCAACTACTGATTGTGATAGCATTTGATATGTGCACGCCCTGGTTAATCGTGTATGGATCGAAGATTTGCTTAGATTCCACTTTGGTTGAGATATCATTAGTCTTGCAGTTGTGGTGGAGCGGATAGAACAACACAAGAGTTGTTACAACAAAATTCATTAATAATAAAAGGGTAAATTAAATTAAAAAAAACAATATTTAATCCATCTCGAATATTTCCGATGCCGCTATCTTCCCTTCCCCGTTCTGGGATTCTCTTACGCCTCCGCCTCTCTTTTCTTTTCGTCCAGACTCGGCGCAGGTTCGGCAACTCACGTAGCGTCGTTTTGCGATATACTGGGCAGAGCTCCACCGCTGCCGCCGATTTTTACACGGGGTGGAAACAGGACAACGGAGTGGATTCCGAATCACCGGAGACAACGGAGGAGATTTCTTTTTCTCCAATTTGCCTTGCATGTTCGTCACGAGGTCGTCGTCGTTCTCTACGCCTCGTCAATCCACCGTGGAATTTAGCGTCTTCTGGAAGGCGTGTTGGAATAAAATTCCTGCTTTGTTTGCTGATTATCAATGTAGAAGAATGCCCAATTTACCCGTAACTTTTGGCAGTATTGTTCTGCCAATTCTTGAGGGCAATGTGCATATTGAAAGCTTTTGGAACAATAATGCACAGAAGAAATAATCCTGACCACAAACACAATAATGCATACCACAAATCCTCTAAAACAAAGCAAAAACCTCACAAAACAAATCACAAATATTTTGAAAGCACACCAGAATCCTCCCAATGCAGACCACAAACACGGTAAAGCAATCCACAAAAAGCGTACCAGAAACCTGTCAATCCATACCACAAATCTCCTAAAACAAGTCAGAAACCCCACAAAGCATACCACAAATATTCCGAAAGCGTACCAGAAACCTCATAATGCAAACCACAAACACGGTAAAGCAAACTACAAACCTCCTAATGCAGACTACAAATATATTAAAACAAAGGGGCTAATACCACTAGGAAACCTGAACTATTAAGAATGTGTCAATTGTGTCTTAAAGTATCCAATATAACATTTGTGTCCTAAACTATTTTTCCGTTAGAGTTGACCGGCGTTGACAGTTAGTTTTTAACAAAAAGTTTAGTTAGCACTGATGTGGCATCTGAAGTGGAATTTATAATTATTTTTCATATAAAAAAATTACAAAAATTAATAAATAAATATAATTCCAAAACAAATCTGTTGCCCGCTCCCCCTCTCCAAAATAGAGTCGTCCCTTATCTCCGGCATCTCTCGGAAGACAGTTACAGATACGTACCCCATCTCCGGAATCAGGCCTTCTTCTTCCCTCAATCAAGAACGCTGCAAAGGAGCTTGTCGATCGGGACTCAGAACCTGCGGAGGTGGAGATCCGGATACGGTGGAATTATCCCTCTTCAATTGCGGGAAATTATCCCTTCCCCTTTTCATTGGCGCCTCTGCCCTCACCCCCTCTCCAAAACTAGAGTGACGCTTCTGTTTCCATATGCTTCCTCTTCCTTTCCTTCCGATGCAGGCGCTGGCAGTAGGTTCTCCATGATAGCGATAAGCAAAGTGTTGACAGCACCAGCCCCCAAAATTTTCACAGCTGCATTGAAGAATTAATCTGACCCCCCAAATTTCCCCGGATTCTAATTTCGCCGCCATGGTCGAGGACGGTGACAACGGCTGCGGAACCCTAGTTGGCAATTTTTGGGGGACTAGGGTTTAGGAGAGGGAGAGAAGGAAAGAGCATTATATTTTCTTAATTATTTTTTATTTTATAACTTTTATTGTTTTAAATTAAAAATATGATGTGTCAATGACTTGGCATCTATATGGCTGCCACATCAACAAAAGTCAATGTTAAAGTTGACTTTCGTCTGTCAACCGTCATCTAGAACGGTCAACGAAATCGTCATGACATAAATGACACACAACTATCATAGGTTGGGACACAAATGTCATATTGGATACTTTAGGATACAAATGACACCTTCTTGATAGTTCGGGTTTTCTAGTGGTATTTAAAACAAACCAGAAACCTCGAAAAGCAAACCAATGTTTTTTTGAAAGCACACCAAAAACTTCTTAATGCAAACCAGAAAGACGATAACGCAAACCACAAAAAACATACCAAAAACACAATATACCAAACCATAAATCTCACAATGTAGACCATAACATCTGGTGACCGTTGACCGGTTAACGAAAACCGTTGACTAAACTCCAATTACCGTCAGTGACTGGATTCCAACGCCGATAGGGATATTCAAACCCTGATGAGTAGATTCCGACGCCAGTAAGCATATTCCATTCACGGTGATCGAATTCCGGCGACGGTGGCCATATTCCAGCGATGGTGGGTATATTTCGGCGATAAAATAGCATATTCCAGTGACCGGCGACCGGATTCTGGTGACCAAAATTTTGGGCAGAAAATAAAAATAATTTTTTAATTTTTATTATTATTTAAAAATAATTTCATAATGACAAATATTCCCCTTCTTTAATTTTACACTAGGTCAACTTAGCTAATAAGAAGTCATCACATCTCTAGCTTCCTATTGGTTGAAGACTAGCGTTGTACCCTAACAACACAAAGGGTGTGGTCATAGTAACTAGTCCCGTTTGTAAGGAAAGAGCTGACATAAAGATCAGTAGCTTAAAGATCAATAGGTCATCGAATTTCAATAGTTTTGATGTCTCTAGTTTTATTATTATTGTCAGGTTCTGGAGAGACCACGCCTACTCCTTCATATTCACGAGACATCTGTCTAGAGAGATGACCATCATGAAAAGACTGTGATACGAAATCGGGGCATCGGAAATCACTCTAGAAAAGGAATGTCTGCAACAGAAAGGAAGGTGGCAAACCAATCTTGTTTTTCAAACAGACAATCAAGAAAAGAATGCCTATCGGGCAATGGCTAGTATCAGAGCATATATAAATATAGGTCCAGGCGAGTAACCTTATGGTGGTTAACTTGCATAATCAAATTTGGACTCTTCCTTTTAAACCACTGTTATTAAAATCGGACCGGACCGGCCGGTCAGACCGGTAAAAACAGGACCCGGGCACAAGTCCGATCCCGGAAGGAGAAAAACGGGTGGCTGTTGGGAAAATGAATCAGGCGCTACTTTTTTGCTAACTTTTAATTAATAATTAATAAAAAGGAAAGGAGGTAACGGAAAATTAAAAGGTGACTATAACCTTAATCCCTCCAGCAAACTATTCTTGCATTTTGACAATTATTTTATTCTTACTTTTCATTTCCTTCTTCTTATTTGGAGCCAAACATCGGTTCATGACCGGTTTTCAATACCGGTCAATTAACGGTTATCCGATAAACCTTGAACCTCTCACTAATCCGGGTCGATGTCCGGTTCGGTTTTGACAACACTGTTTTAAACGGACTGCAGATCTAAGGGTTGAGAAATAAATGCATTTTATTTTTACTAGTTTTTTTAATCGGATCTTATCTTTTTCGTTCTAATTTGGATTAATGTTTTTTTTTTCACAGATGAAATGATTTCGTTGTTATCTATAAAATGAGATCCATTTTCAATATTATTTGAGAAATTTTTTTCATACCTCACGTTACCAACTCCATACCATATGGTAACACCTTCATTTTTAAGTTGTTTTTTAAATTAATTGCACGAAATATATGAGTTCATCATGATCTATTGGATATACAAATTTTTGGGAGAAAAAAATGCATAACAAAAAAATATCACCCCATACCACCCTGGTATAAGGTGGTAATTGATGGTAAATAATATTGAATGTAATATATTCCTAATATCATGTATTCAACCATCCTACAATCTGGTATGTCCATACGGGGTGGATAGAAAAACAACACTTATAATGTTGTTACCATAACAACAATGACATGGTTGTTATTTCATCATTTATTAAAATTCAAAATTCAAAATTAATATTAAATGCATAGACTGCGCGTTAACTGCCATTTCAGTTTTCCACTTTCCCCTCTTCTCACGAACTCCTCTCCATCGTTTGCTCTCTCCCCGTTCTCACGATTTTTCCGTCTCCGTCATGCTTCCACTACGTGCTTCTGTTCATTTTCCTTCGTGCAATTCTGTCTCCTCTTTCATTGACGCAAATTTCGAGGTCTGTCATCTACTACCGATTTCCTCCGCTAGACTGTCTTCCCCGCTGTCTTGGTTTTGGACATCGGTTGTCGCCGTTGTTGTTTCTCGTTGCCGGATTTTCACTTGTGTAGGGTTTGTACCTACACTACAAGTGTTTATGTTGCTCGTTGATGCTATTGAAATTTTAAACCGTCATTTTCAGGTTTGCGGGTTGTTACTTTCCCTTTTCACTTTTCCTTCATGTATTATGCTTTCAATGTTAATCTGTTGTTGGCGACAAGGAATTTTCGTCCATGTGCGTTCTAGTTAGGTTTTGTTGTATGTTTCTGCATTTGTGTGGTGTGATTTCCAGATTTCCTCAGTTATTTATTCATTTTAGGGTTTCTGGTATATCTTGAGACGATTGTGGTGGTCTTTAGTAGTTTTGTTGTCTTGTTTTCATTTTTGGTGTTGCGCTTTGTGTTTGCTGCTATCAAGGGTGTTTGTGGGATTTATAGAGGTTTTTAAGGAAGTTGTGGTGTCTTCCAGCTTGTTGTTGGTTCTGTGCTTCAAAGCTTTTGTGGTTTGTGTTTTGGTTTTACCAGATTGGATTAGGCCTTTCCTGGTATGCATTTGGAGTTGTTGTTTGTGTCCTAAAATTTTGCTTTGTGGTTTATTTTTACACTTTTATAGTCACTTTGTGGTTTGTTTTAACGCTTTTACAGTTTGCATGAGGTCCTTCCTGGTGTGCATTTTAGCTGTTGTGGTTGTAGGTTGGTTATGTTGGTTCGTGTTTTTTATTGTCTTATAGACATGTCATGTGGTAAGAAACGTGCAGTAAAGGGGAAAACACAGGAGATAGATTGAAAAACTAGCAAGAGGAAAGTTGTTAATGTTGATAAGGATGCAAATGGTGGT